GAAAATCCCACAGAAATCCAGGGGCTGCTGACACTAAATCTCATTTTGTGTTTTTTTTTTAAAACTGAGGAAGAATTTACAGAAATATGCACACATCTCAGTGTACAGTTTGGCGATTTTTGACAAACTCCATGTTACCTGCTCCTTTCTCCAGATACAGGACATTTCCATCAACCCCAGAAATTTCCCCAAGGCCACTTCCCTATAAAGCCCCAATTCTCTCCGCCAAAAGCAACTGCTGTTCTGATTTCTGCCGCCAGTTATTGGTTTTGTCTGTTTTTCACCCTCATACACGTGGATTGTGTGTACATCTTCTTTCGTATCTGGCTTTTCCATTCGGCAGGTTTTGCAGACTGGGGCTGTGGCGCATGCGGCCTTGCGTTGCTGAGTGAGGCTGCCTTAGGCGGATGCACAGCCATTCGTCTTTGATCAACACTGGGTCATATCCATTTTAGTCACAAGAATAAGCTGCTACAAAGTCTTTTTATGGACGTCTGCTTCCGCTGCTCTTAGTGGACCCCACAGGCGGCATTGCTGGGTCACGCGTAGGTGTGCGCCTAACTTTAGAAGAAACTGCCAAACTGTTTCCCAAAGTGGCTGCACCAGCATCTGAAGAATAAGTCAACATCCCCATCAACACTTGGTGGTGATGTCTGTCTCAGCCCCTTTGGGCTGCTTTAATAAGAACACCACAGACGGGGTGGCTTAAACGACGGATATTTATTTCTCACGGTTCTGGAGGCTGGACAGTCTGAGATCAGGGTGCCGGCAGAGTCGGTGTCTGGTGAGGGTCCCTTCTCGGTTCATAGGTGGTGTCTTCTCGCTGTGTCCTCACGTGGCACGAGGGGCGAGGGAGCTCTCTGGGGTCTCCTTTGTAAGGGCACTGATCCCATTCACGACCTAAGTGCTTCCCAAAGGCCCCACCTCCTGACGCCACCACTGTTGGGGATTAGGATTTCAACACAGGAAATTTGGGGAGACACGTTCAGTCCATAACAGGCTTTTAAGTTTTAGTCATTCTGGTGAGTTTGCAGTGCTGCCTCACTTTGCTTAATTGGCATTTCCGGGAAGACTAATGGTGAGCACTTTTTCACGTGCTTGTTGGTACTTGCATATCTTCCTTTAAGAAGTCTCTGTTCAAATCTTTTGTCCATTTAGAAAATAGGATTGTCTTTTTTAAAAAAAGCTGATAGATGATTTTTCTGAGCCACTTTAGGTCTACAGAAAAATTGAGCGGCAAGCACGGAGACGTCCCATAGACCCCAATTCCTCCTCCAACTTCCCTTGTTATTAACATCTCCCTTTACTCTGGTACGTTTGTTACAATTGTGAACCAATATTGATACGTTGTTATTAACTACATGAGTGTTCACTCTTGGTGATACATTCTATAGATTTTGACACATGTATAAGGACGTGTATCCACCGTTACAGCATCATCCAGGATAGTGTTACTGCCCTACAATCCTCTGTGCCTCCCTGTTCATTCCTCCTTCCAGATCCTTCCAACCACTGATCTCTCCCGTCTGCAGAGTTTTGCTTTTTCCAGAACGTCATAGAGTTGGAATCATACAGTGTGTAGCCTTTCAGACTGGCTTCCTTCATTTACCAATATGCATTTAAGGTTCCTCCATGACTTCATGGCTTGATAGCTCATTTCTTTTTAGTGCTGAATAATATTCTGTCATCTGGGTGGACCACAGTTTATTTATCCATTCACCTACTGAAGGACATCCCGGTTGCTTCTGAGTTTTGGTAACTATGAATAAAGCTGTTATAAACATTCAGAAAAGTTTGTGTGGATGTAAGTTTTCAGCTCCTTTGGGTAAATATCAAGGAGCATGATGGCTGGATTGTATGGTGAGTGTACGTTTGGTTTTGTAAGAAATTGCCACCTCCCCACCCTCTAGATCCCTGGGGTCCTACAGACGATGGAACAGTAAACACTACAGGTATCAGAAGCACCTCCCAGAACTCTCAGTGAGAACTTACGCCCAATTTGTGATTCCCAAGGTCTCAGTGAAAGAAGCTATTTCCCACCAACAAGAGTATAATCTTAGTCTGAACATTTCTCATACTTGGTTTATTTGTTATAAAGCCCAGACTCTTCTATCTTTGGAAAGATTTTTGACTAAAAGCGTTCTTAAAGAAGCAACTTTGACCCCTATGTTCATCGCAGCATTATTTACAATAGCCAAGACGTGGAACCAGCCTACATGCCCAGAAACTGATGATTGGATAAAGAAGATGTGGTATATATACACAATGGAATACTACTCAGCCATAAAAAAAGACAAAATTGGCCCATTCACAACAACGTGGATGGACCTCGAGGGTATTATGTTAAGCGAAATAAGCCAGTCAGAGAAAGATGAACTCTATATGACTCCACTCATAGGTGGAAATTAGTATACTGATAAGGAGATCTGATCGGTGGTTACCAGGGAAAAGGGGGGGTGGGGGGAGGGCACAGAGGGGGAAGTGGTGTACCCACAACATGACTAACAAAAATGTACAACTGAAATCTCACAAGGTTGTAATCTATCATAACATTAAAAAAAAAAGCAACTTTGTTTTCATAGAACCGCAATACATTTAAAAAAACCAGTGGAATAAATGCAGTGGCCAAATAATTTATTCTTTTATGTCCAAATAAAACCCAGATGCAATTAAGCTGCAACAAGAGCACTACCGTGGAGAGAACACGTTAGCCTGTGCGTGGTTTGGACGCTCACGTCCCTCTCCTCTGGAGCTGGAAGGGGCCTCGCTGCCACATAAATCAGAGCAGAAGGTCGAACTGTAACGAGAGTCTGATGGAGGGAGGGACTTGTGCGTCCTGCAGGAGACAGTTTTTATAAAAGCGAGGTTGTATTTCAGCGTAACTAGGAGAGGGCGATAACTATCATTCTCGGGAGGGGCCATTGCTGTGCAGTCGGCCCCCACCCCCGTGGGTCTGGCCGTGGAGGCCCCTTAAGAGAGGTTTGTTGCACCCATTGGGGGTTTTATCTTTAAGAACCAAAAATCAAAGGGAGATGTTTATCCTTGTCCGTGTGGCCAGCGTCTGCAGCATGTGTGTGCTCCTGAGATTGAGGCCTTTCCACGCAGGCCACGGCACAGCTGACGCCATTTCTTCTGTACGCACTTGCTCCCTTTTAGGGGACGCACATCGCATCTGTGTGTAACAGCACTTACAGTTAAAATGGGACTTGCACATTTTCATGCACATGGAATTGCATGGGGAAATGAAACCGCCGCGAGAGCTACAGGGAGCGGCACGCAGCCCTTCAGGGCTGACAGCCTGCGGCACTCGGGGGACGCAGACCCGGCTGCTCGCCTCCTCTTTCCCAGAGTCGCCTCTTACAGGTTGTTGACCTGGTCGTGGCTTTGCAGCATCTGCAGCCCGTGGTCTGTGGGCGGAGCCGGGGGATCTGCCTGGAGCTCTCAGGCGCCTGGGGCCCACTGACCTCGCCTCATGGGGGCAGAGACTTCACCGTCAGCCACGTGGTCTACCAGCGGACGGGACCTAATTGTGAGGACTCCATGTAGTTTACTCCACGTCTAAATGACTCGAACATTTACATGTGGTTTCAGCCAATATCTTGACATTTGTTGGATGGAGGAAACAACTTACTGAAAGTGACTGAAACAGGTAAAGTCAGTTTCTTAAAACTATACTTATCTCTAAAGTCACTGAAACCCATGAGAGAATATAATTTTGGTCATCATAGTCTCCCTTTTTGAAACTCTAGTTTTCTCAGATTTTCAAAATTGCTGTAAATTACCTAAACTTTAAAAGTTAAAGTTTGGGCATAGTGCATTTTTTCCCCCAAACTGTCTGTGGTGGTTGATTTCATGTGTCAATTTGACTGGGCCCGAGATGCCCAGATTAAAATGACGTGGGTGTTTCCAGATGAGACAAGCATTAGAACGGGTGGACCGAGCCCTCCCCAGGGTGGGTGGGCATCACTCGACCCCTGGGGCCTGAACAGAACAGGGAGAGGAGCAGGAAGACATCCCCCTGCCTGACGCCTGAGCGGGACACGGCCGTCTCGGACCTGGGACAGCACTCGCCCCGGCCCCCTGGGTCTCCCACTGGCAGATGGCAGGTCAGGGGCTTCTCAGCCTCCACCATCCTGTGAGCAAACTCCTCGCGATGTCTCCTTTTATATCTGCCTCTGCGGAGCGACATACGCGTACGCAACTCCTGCCGGCTCTGTTCCTCTGGAGAACCCCGACCAACACGCTGTCTGATGACAGAAGGAAGGAAGACACTGCCCGTCAGCCCACCCACAGAATTCGCAGGATCTAGTTAACACTACTTTCATCAGCACGTGAAGCTCTAAACCAAAGTTCTCTCTCCAAGCAAACAGATGCACAGTGTGGACAGAGTTGCCTCAGACCTCTGGTACCAAACGCTGCACTGATTTAACGGAAGCTCTGCACCCACGACGACATTCAGACACCACGTGGAGCAAAGTGACCACGGTAGCTAAGCTGTGAGCGCTTAGGATGGGCGCGGTGGGCACGGAGCGTGTGGTGTGTGTGCGTGCACGGACAGGTACACGCTTGCACAGTCTGCACCAACAGCTGTGGTGTTTCCATCATCTCGTCTTACACTAGTGTGTGCACGTGCACGTACGTGCCCACACAGTCTGCACCAACACCTGTCGTGTTTCCATCACCCCATCTTACACTAGTGTGTGGTGTGTGCATGTGCACATACGTGCCTGCACAGTCTGCACCAACACCTATGGTGTTTCCATCACCCCCGTCTTACACTAGCGTGTGGTGTGTGCATGTGCACATACGTGCTTGCAGTCTGCACCAACACCTGTGGTGTTTCCATCACCCCGTCTTACACTAGTGTGTGTGTGTGTGTGTGCAGGTACGTGCCTGCACAGTCTGCACCAACACTTGTGGTGTTTGTTACCCCGTCTGACCCTCTACTGTACAAATACTCTCACAAATACTTCAGGTAATAAATTTCCAGGCGGAAAGAATTTGAGTTAAGTTTTTCTTTTGCTTTTATTACAAGCATATAATATTAATTGGCAAAACACTGAATACAAGCTTCACTATCATAAAATCAAAACATTGAAGCAATATTCCAAAAAAGATTTTAGACAAAAACTAGCCACCGAGTACAAAAATTACACACCAACATAAAGCATAAAAAATGTAAACTTTCAAATTAAACAGTCAAAAATATGTATCTGCATTGTCATCTTCATAAACTGCGACAGCTTCCACGTTGCCACGCATGGTGGGCCGGCTCAGCACCACCTCACCCTGAACCCACATCCTTTGGGAAAATGGTTTTCTTACACCCAATTATGTTGCTGGATAGACATTTACACTAATGCTACACACGCTGGGGGCACCCACACTGCAGTCCATCCTCAGACGTGCTCGCGGACGCGGTAAGTTACACACGACACCCTGGCCCGGGCTGGCCATGCACTGCCCGTCCGGCAGGGACGGGATCTTCGTAAAGACTACGCTGTAGTTTGATATTTACTGAGTGTGTTTAAATACCAAGGCAGAGAAACACACTGGTTTATCACGCTAAGGTCACGTGTGATGTGGTGGAGTGTAAATGATTTCCTGAGGAAACAGAGAAACTGGGTTTTTTGTGATTTTGCTATCGGCACTAAATTTATTTTCAATATTTGGAGAGCACATTGAATATTCACGCACAACGTAGACATCAGCTGGCTCGTTCCTATCCAATGACACATTTCAAATCACTGTAAAACACTATCCTGTGCACTTTGAGAAAAGAACCAAACGAATTTCTAAGACTTGGAATGCCACGAGGAGGCATCGGAGGCCGAGCCTGGAGGCTCAGGAGCCCCGGGGAAGTAGCACCGTCACGTGTGGGGTCCTACGGGGGTGGTGCATCCAGGGCCGTGAGCAGGCGGGTCGAGGGCACAAACCCCGGGCAGCCATGAGGCTGGCCTACGATGGCGCCACACATCACTTCACGGCTGCCTGCCCCGTCACTTATATTTAAATATTGCTGACAGGTATTCTTGCACAGGCACACGCACAATCCTGATAACTGTGTTCTTATAATAGCAACAATGAAAAAGGAAAAACCAAATAGCTGAATGTATATATTTTGAAGTTCCACCTACATTCCCTTTCAATTTAGCAGAATAGATGCTACATTGCAATTTAAACATCTAATAAACGCATATTGGAACCTATTGCACAAAAGCATAAACAATGCTCTTCATCCATATAAAACAAAAACATACAAATTAAAAGCTACTCAAAGTAAAAAGAAGAAGCTTGCAAAACATCTCACAATTTCATTTTATATGCCTGTAAATAAAGCTGGACCACTGAAACCAAACGATTGGATGGGAAAATACGATAGAAGGCTTAAAATAGAATAAATAATTTTATAAAGTTTTTTTTAACCCCCCAAATCTTAAATTTAATATTATATATTCTATCTGAATTTTCTATTTCCATGAAAACGGTGTCTAGCGAGGGTCCCACCGGTGCTGACAGCGATGTGGGGCGGGAGCTGAACAGCACGAGCCTCCCCAGCACAGCAGCTGCGAAACTCCACAGCAACTCCACTGCTAAAACCTTCAGAGGGTCCAATCAGTAACTGATCCTGGCTTTCATGCTGGAAAAAATAAAATTCAGGCTTTTGATGTTAAATGAAAGCATGACAAAATGAAGGAGACCCCTGAAGCTTCCCGACGGCAGGGTTCACCAGGCTGCAGTCTTCATAAGGCCGCGTCAGACCAAAGCGGCCGGAGGCCACCAGGGATCGCCCTGTAGTGAAGGCGGTCTGCAGGAGGACATCTTAGAAAAATAGGTACTTTTGCTGCTGAGGTTTCATCAGGTTAACACGATTACAAAAGCGGGTCACACAAGAGCGGTCAGCAACCAGCTGGAGATGTTAATACTGGCTCCGACTTATCTCCACCTCTCTGTATATTTAAATATATCAACTTAGCACCATAGCAAATTCAAGTGATTTCAAAGATAGCTACAAAGTTACAAATATATAATATGAGATTATTACAGCGATATTAAGTTTAATCTGAACTGTGAATTAATTTTATTTGAATTTGGATGCTCATACTGTTTAATCCTTCCTTACTTTCACCACACAGGAAAATACCTAAATTCTAATGTTACACTTAAAACTGCATTGTGATAACGTGGTTTTACAGAATGCTTCAGCAGTAAGGTATCTTTTGAGGTAGACAGGTAATATTTACTCACACACATCTACTCATTAAACTGTGTAGAATAACTCTAAATGTGATTTGGATGAATAGCAAGCTTAGGTAATTGAAAAATTCAAACACCACTGGCAGTTAATGGGCTTAAATAAAAAGGCGAATTTTGATCAATTCCTAACAAAGAAGTTGTTTTTATGTTTTTAAAAGACCTTACATTAAAATCACTTGGACTGAATTAATTTGAATGTTTTTCTCACCCTTTAGACTAGGTCTCAGTAGCTGCTTCTGACATTCATGTACGTAAAACAGGAAGCAGAAGAAAACAAACAAAATTGAATGTTGATGAGCGCAACTTTAACTTTCAAAGCAAATTCAAGAAAAGAGTCTAGTCACTAAGATGAAATACTTCCTGGAAAACCCAGCCCTCGGGGCCACCATCAGAGACCTGTCCACTGACAAGGGCGGTGGGTGAACCACTCCCACCAGAAAAGGAGGAGGACCTGAAGCTCACTGGGAAGTCAGAGGACACACGGACGGAGGTGACAAGGAAGCTCCAGGATGACTGTGACGGCTCCAGAGGACTGGTCCTGTCTCCTCATTCTTGCCTTTACACCATTTTAAAGTAACAGATATCTATGTGCTGGCAGTTTGTTTATTCTCTAAATCCACAAACATATTAACATTTGGGAGGAGGAGGGGGTAACCGAGCGTGTGCTGCCTGTGACCGGCGTTATAGGTCATCAAGTCACTGGACAAGCAGCTGCTGCCGCACGGCGCACTCCCCCGGGCACTCCGCTGCCCCCCTGCTCCTGTGCTTGGCCCATTAGCAGCCACGAAGTGTGTGAGCTCTTTCCATGAGCAGAGAGGAGGGGAGGGTGGACGTGGTGGGAACCAGGCGTTTGTACACCTGGAGCTGCGGGAGCAGACGCCCTCGCAGGGCGGCACCGCTCGTCTGATGGAAAAGCCCCTCCACAAACGCCACCACCTCTCTTCAGCAGAATGAAAATGGGAAAGAATGAGTAGGAGATTAAACGATGGCACGGAACAATCTGTGCCCTGTTCAATAAAAGCCATTTTTCACAACAGTTGTTCAACAGACCAGCAGTAAGCTGGACAAACGACCTCTGGTCTACCAGCTGGGCGTGCCAGGGACGGTGAGCACCAAGTCTCAGCCGTGTCCAGTTCGGGGGGCAGTGGGACAGAGCCTCTCCCGCCACAGGGCTGCCTGGCCCCCAGCGTGTCGGTGGAGCTATGGGGGCTGAGGACACCACACCGCACGAGGCGAGTCAGGGGAGCTCTTGGCCTCGTTATGTTTTGAACTGTGGAAAAGTAAATACCATGGTTGACTCATAATATTAATGGAAACCTCTTTTGGTATGCTTTTAAATTAAATTTTTATATATCTTCGCAGTCTTCAGGAAGCTAAAGGCAACATAAATATCATTCACCATGAAAAGATATTTTTTCAATAACTTAGGAAGTATTCAATAAACATACAAGTATTTTTGAGGCTTATCGTGAAACTTAATTTATAAACTAAACTGAAATGACCAAGATTTTCAAGACCTGGGAAGCGAGCAAAGGTCCTGCGTGTCAGGACAGAATGTGCCGTACTGCACCGCCCTCCAGCCGCGAGCCGAAGCTACAGCAGCGCGGCCGAGCTGCGCGAGACGTTGGAGCGCTTCATCACCTGCGACGTGGTGCTGGTAGTGTCTGGCTGAGTGGGAATTCTCTCATACAAAAGTTATAAATATTCTCTATTCAGAAGTCTGGTCCACACGACACCCGGAGGCAACATTCCACAGCGCGGTCGTGGTCCTGCCCCCGCGCTCACTGGCCCCGGTTGTGAGGCTGCCTCCTGCCGTGCTGCCGGCGCTCACAGCAAGTCCATCTTGGGTCTGTAGTGCAGCAGGAGCGGCGCCTTCTGTAAGACAAGCCGGCAGAGTCGCTCTTAGCGGGGGCACGAGAAGACACAGGCCACGACGCCACCCAAACATGCTAGGGACACACTCGCCTCGGCTGTGACGCGCAGTCAGGCGCAGCGGAGGCCGAGAGGAACAAGCCCCTTGCTCTGTGGCCAAGGGAACCCGGCACTCCTCCACTGATGCTGCCCCTTCTCTCTGGACCTCCTGCTTCCTCAGACCCTCAGCCCAGGCTCAAGGTCAGCCCTGGCTCGCCCCCTGCTTCCAAAGGCTCGAGGGGTACCCTCTGACTGCAGTGGCCACCTCCTCCCCAGATCGTCACAGGACACTGGTCACCTCGGCCAGGAGGGCTGGGGTGAGCCGGAGCCTGGGCCGGGCGCTGCCGGGCTTGCCTGGGAACTGCACCTTCCTTGGGCCATGCTGACTCTGGGGCTGATGGTTTCAGAGTGACTGTCATTTGACGACAGTCCTGTGACTGAATTGTCATTTCTAGGCTCTTAGATAAAAATATGCTCAGAAAAGTAGTTGCCATTCATAGCGGATTCTGAAAATCAAACAAAACATCATTACAAAGAGACAACTCTCACCTTGAATCTCCACCTTGTGACAACCACAAACTTGAGTGTGTGGTCCTTGCCCAGGATTTCCTCGTTGCATAAAATGTCCAGCTGGCGGGAGAAGAAGGCTTCGGTCAGGGGGCTGAGGGTTTGGCACTTGGGACACAGGCCACTGGTCTGTACCAATTCTTCCAGGCCCCCCACAGAGGTTTCTGTCAGCTATGGAGCCACATGCCTGTCTCTGGGCAGCACAGGTGGGAGGGCGGACTCGGAAGGCCCTTCTGATCCCACCTGGGAGCGCACAGAGCACTGGGGACGTCTTGTCCACACCTGCCCACCAGGGGCCTCTAAGCCACACCCGCCCACGGGGGGGAACCTCTGTTCATACCCATCAACTGAGGAGCCTCTGTCCACACCTGCCCACTGGGGGGAACCTCTGTCCCCACCCACCAATTGGGGGGGCCTCAGTTCACACCTGCCAACAAGAGGAGGGGCCTCTGTCCACACCCACCAACTGGGGGGCCTCTGTTCACACCTGCCAACTGGGAGCTTTGGTCCACATCCGCCATGACATCCCCCTGCCACGGGCTGCAGCCCCTAGGCTGCTCCCCCACAAAGAGGACCCTGTCCTTCTACTCTCCCCACCTCAGTCCACCTCTTGGCCAAGTTTGTCCCTCTCACCTCAGTGGAAAAAGGTAATATGCTCCCCAGATGGTCTTTTTCCTTTCTTTTTAAAAAAAGACTATTTTAGAGCAGTTTTAGGTTCACAGCAAAACTGAACAGAGGGTACAGAGTTCCCACTTACCCCATCCTCACACACATGACCCCTCACTGTCAACATGGCCCACCAGAGAGCATATCTGTTACAGTCGGCAAACCCAGGTGGACAGGCCGGCATCACCCCAAGTCCAGAGCTCACAGGAGCCTCGTTCTTGGGGTGGTGCCTCCTGTGGGTCCAGACAGTGTATAATGACGTGTGTCCACCACACAGTGCCTATTTGCTCTCCCTCCCCACACCCTGACACCCACTCATCTTTCACTGTCTCCATAGTTTTGGCCTTTCCAGAATGTCATAGAGTTGGAACCATTCAGTGTGTAGCCTTTTCAGACTGGCTTCTTTCACTTAGTAACATGCATATTTAAGGTTCCTCCATGTCTTTTCATGGCTTGATAGCTCACTTACTTTTACCACTGAATAATATTCCATTGTCCGGATGGAGCACAGTTTACTGATCTACCCACCTACTAAAGGGCATCTTGGTTGCTTCCAAGTTTTGGCAGTTATGAATGAAGCTGCTATACACATCTGTGTGCAGGTGTTGTGTGGACATGAGTTTTCAACTCCCTTGGGCAAATACCAAGGAGCGTGACTGCTGGATAGCATGGTGAGAGCATTTCTGCATTCCCAGCAGCAGCGAGTGAGAGTCCCTGTTGCTCCACATCCTCGTCACCATTTGGTGTTGTCAGCGTTGTGTGTATGTGGGTGTGTGTGTGTCAATAGTTCATTCCTTCTGATTGTTTTCTAAAAAAATTGTGCTAAAATGCACATAAAATTTACCGTCTTAACCATTTTTCAGTGCACCGTTCAGTGGTATTAAGCACATTCACATTGTGCAGCCATCACCACCATGCATCTCCAGAACTTTTTCATCTTGTGAAACTGAAACTCTCCTCATTGAACACTGACTCCCCATCTCCCCACCCACCCCAGCCCAGTCCCTGCCAACCACCATACTCTCTGTCTCTATGGATCTGACTATTCTAGGATCTCATAGAAGTGGAATACTACAATGTTTGTCTTTTTGTGACTGGCTTATTTCACTGAGTACAATGTCCTCAAGGTCCATCCATGTTGTAGCATATTGCAGGATTTCCTTCCATTTTAAGGCTGAATAGTGTTCCACTGCATGGATGGACCACATTTGTTTATCCATTCACCTGCTGATGGACACTTGGGCTGCTTCCAAGCTTTCGTTACTGTGAATAACGCTGATGTAAACATGAGTGTACAAACACCTCTTTGAGACTGTTTCAATTCTTTCAGGTTTATACCCAGAAGTGGAATTGCTGGATCATACGGTAATTCTGTGTTTAATTTTTTGAGGAACCTCCATACTGTTTTCCACAGTGGCTGCACCATTTTACACTCCTCACAACAGTGCACAGGGTTCCGGTTTCCCCATATCCTTGACAACACATTATTTATTTATTCTACAGCAGCCATCCTATGGGTGTGCGACGGTATTTCACTGTAGTTTGGATTTGCATTTCCTTAATGATTCGTGATGTTGAGCATCATTTCATGTGCTTATTGCCCAATCGCATATCTTCTTTGCAGAAACGTCTATTCAAGTCCTTTGCCCACTTTTGAATCAGGTTTTTTTTTTTGTGTTGAGTTTTAGGAATTCTCTGTATATTCTAGATGGTAATCCCTTAACAGATACATGACTTGCAAATAGTTTCTCCTACTTTGTGCCAAATTTTTTAATTTTCAGGATGTACAATTTGTCTCTTTTTCCTCTTGTTGTCTATGCATTTGGTGTCACATCCAAGAAGTCATTGCCAAAGCCAATGTCACGAAGCTTTCTCCTATGTTTTCTTTTAAGGTTTTATTGTTTTAGGTCTTATGTTTAGGTCCTTGATGCATTTTGAGTTAATTTTCATACAAGGTGTGAGGTAAGGGTCCAAGTTCATTCTTTTGCATGTGGATATCCAGTTTTCTCAGTGCTATTTGTTGAAAAGACTGTTTTTTTCCTATTGAATGGTCTTGGCACCCTTGCCAAAAATCATCTGACCGTATATGTGAGGGTTTATTTCTGGGCTCTTTACTCTACTCCTTTGGTCTATATGTCTGTCCTTACGCCAGTACCACACTGTTCTGATTACCATAGCTTTGTGGTAGGTTTTGAAATCAGGAAGTGTGAGTCCTCCAGTTTTGTTCTTTTTCAAGGTTATTTTGGCTATTTGTGTCCCTTGAGATTTTGCATGAAGTTTAGATGGTTTTTGAATTTCTTCAAACCCTCACTGGGATTTTGATAGGAGTCGCACTGAATCCATGCGTCACTTTGGTGCTACCGGCATTTCCACAACATTATGTCCAGGCCATGAACTTGGGATGTGTTTTCACTTATTTCTGTCTTCTTCAATTTCTTTCAGCAATGTTTTGTGGTTTTCACTGTATGAGTCTTTCATCTCCTTGCTTAAGATAATTCCTAAGTATTTCATTCTTTGTGATGTTCTTGTGAAGGGAACTGTTCTGTCATTTCCTTTTCAGATTGTTCACTGCTTGTGCACAGAAATGCAACTGATTTCTGTGTGGATTTTGTATCTTGCTACCTTGCTGAATTCATTTATTAGTTCTAATGGTTTGTGTGTGTGTGTGATCTTTAGGATTTTCTTCATATAAGATCATATCTGCAAACAGAAATTTTAATTCTTCCTTTCTGATTTGGATGTGTTTTCTTTCTTTTCCTTGCCTAACTGAAGGGGTGAAAGTGGGCACCCTTGCCTTGTTCCTGGTCATGGAGAAAAAGCTTTCAGTCTCTCACCACTCAGCATGATGCTTGTAGTGGGTTTCCACACAGGGCTTTTATTTTATTTTACTTTCATCTATGGCTTCTCTTCCTAGTTGAGCGCTTTTATCTTGAAAGGGTGTTGAATATTGTCAAATGCTTTTTCTGCATCAATTGAAATGATTACATGGTTTTTCCTTCACTCTGTTAATGTGGTGTATTACACCTACCGATTTCATATGTTGAGTCATCCTTGCATTCCAGGAATAGATCCCATTTGGTCATGGTGTATAATCCTTTTAATATGCTGCTGAATTCCGTTTGCTAGTATTTTGTTGAGGATTTTTGCATCAATGTTCATACAGGATATTGGTCTGCAGTTTTCTTTTCTTGTGGTGTCTTTATTGGGCTTTGGTATTGGGTGATGCTGGCCTCATAGAATGAATTAGGAAGGGTTCCCTCCTGTTCAATTTTCTGGAAAAGTTTGAGAAGGATTGGTGCTAGTTCTTCTTTACTTGTTTGGTAGAATTTACGAGTGAAGCCACTGGGTCCAGGGCTTTTCTTCTTGGGAGACTTCAGATTACTGATTCAATCTCCTTACTAGTTACAGGACTCAGATTCTCTATTTCTTCGTGATTCAGTTGTCTTGGTTCTGTGTTTCTAGGAATTTGTCAGTTTCACCTAGGCTATCCAATTTGTTGGTGTACAACTGCCCACAGCACTCTATTATAACCCTTTTTATTTCTGTAGAATCAGTAGTAATGTCCCTCCTTTCATTTCAGATTTTAGTAATTTGAGCCTTCTCTTTTTTTTCTTAGTCCAGCTAGCTAAAAGTTTGTCATTTTGTTGATCTTTCTGAAGAACCACTGATTTTTCTCTATTGTTTTTCTATTCTCTATGTTGCTTATCTCTGCTATAATATTTATTATTTGGGTTTAGTTTGTTCTTTTTCTAGTTTTTTTTTAATTCCAGAAGAAGGAGATGTTGTTATTGTTTAGGTTTTTGTTTTTGTTTTTGTTTTGGTAAGGAAGATTTGCCCTGAACTAACATCCATTGCCAATCTTCCTGTTTTTTAAATTGAGGAAGATTAGCCCTGAGCTAACATCTGTTGCCAATCTTCCTGTTTTTTTAATTGAGAAAGATTAGCCCTGAGCTAACATCTGTGCCAATCTTCCTCCATTTTGTATGTGGGATGCCACCACAACATGGCTGATGAGTGGAGTAGGTCCACATCTGGGATCCGAACCCTCAAACTCGGGCTGCCAAAGTGGAGTGTGTGGAACTTTAACCACTTGGCCATGGGGCTGGCTCCCTTCTTCCTAGTTTCTTATGCTGTGAATTTAGGTTGTTAATTTGAGATCTTTCTTGTTTTTAATGCAAGCATTTATAGCTATAATATATTTCTCTCTTAGCACTGCTTTCACTGTCTCATACATTTTGGTTTTACTGTGTTTTGTTTTCATTTGTCTCTAAGTATTTTCTAACATCTCTTTCATTTCTTCTTTGATCTACCGGTTGTTTAAAAATGAGTTGGCTAATTTCTACAATTTTGTAAATTTTCCAGTTTTCCTTTTGTTACTCACTTCTAACTTTATGCCGTTGTGGTCAGAGAAGATACTTGGTATGATATTTATCTTTTAAAATCTATTGAGACAATTTGTGTCTGCCTTTCTCTTATAAGGACCCTTGTCATTGGCTTTAGGGCCCACCCAGATAATCCAGGATGATCTCTTCATCTCAAGATTCTTAACATATTTGTAAAGACCTTTTTTCAAATAAAGTCACATTCACATGTTTTGGGGTTAGGAAATGGACGTATCTTTTAATGGAGCCACCATTCAACCGACTACAGTCTGCCTCTCGCCTCTCAAAATCGACATCCATCCCACATGCAAAATACATTCACCCCATCCCAACATCCCCAGGAATCTCAACCCATTCCAGCGTCAACTCCAAATTCCAAAATCTCGTCTAGATATCATCAGCTCAAAAGTCCCTGGTCTTATCTTCTAAATCATATGAATCAGGTCTGGGTGAGACTCTGGGTATCACCCATCCTGGGGCAAAATTCCTCTCTAGCTGTGGACCTGCAAACTAGAAAACATGTTATCTGCTCCCAAATAAACGGTGGGACAGGCACAGGATAGATATTCCTATTGCAAAAGGGACATATGTTAGGCATAAAGGGGTCACTGGTCTCAAGCAAGTTTGAAATCTGGCAGGGAAAAATCCATGAAGTTTCAAGATCTGAGAACACACCACTGTGGGCGGAGTTTCTGCCCTCTGGGCCCACGATGGCCTCACCCTCTGGGCCCAAGGCTCTGCCCTTGGAGTCACTGTTCCCTTTTCTTGAAGGGTAGTTCATATTTGCAGCCAAGTGGCTCTATCAGTCTATTTCCTGCATGCAGAATTTTGCAAATTTGATAGTCTTCTCTCATTTCTTTCTGTCTCTGACCCCTTCAGTCCAAGCTGGGGACATTTCTGCTGATACAACATTCTCAACAACTTTGTGGGTCTCCATGTACAACACGAATCCAGGCCAATAGATGTGAAGATTCTCCACAGATCTTTCCTGGATAACTCTTCTCCACTCCCAGGTTCTGTGAGATGGTTGAGCCACTACGAGTCACAGAACTAATCTCTTCAGAAGGTTGTGCTGCCATACCCTTGGCCTTTTCTCCAGAGCATGCTTCCCTAACAGCGGAACTTCTAATATCACCATCTTTTGCAATCTGAACAGGCTGTGAATCTTCCAAATCATCAGGTGGTGGTTCTTTTTTGCTTAGCAGTTCCTGCCTGAATTCATCTTTCTCCTCTCATATTTTATTACAAGCAACAAGAGGACACTAGACCACACCTTCCACACTTTGCTTGGAAATCTCAGCTAAATCTCCAAGCTCATCACTTCCAAGCTCTATTTTCCATACAACTGGAGAACATAATTCGGCCATGCTTTCTCCCATCATGTGACAAGGATCACTTTTCTTCCTGTTTCCAACACTATGCTCCTCTTTTCCGTATCAGTTCTCATCAGAAGTGTCTTTACTCTTCCTATTTCTACCAACATTCTGTTTGTGGCGATATGTCCCTTCTAAGATGACAGAAGCTTTCTCTACCACATTCCTCACTTCCTTCTGGGCTATCATCAGAATCATCTTTAATGACCCAGTTTCCAGCAACAGTCTCTCCAAGGCAATCTAGGCTTTTTTTATTGTGTTTCTCAGAATCTTTCCAGCCTCTGCCTATTATCCAGTTCCAAAGCCATTTCCACATTTTCAGGTGTTTGTTACAGCAGCACTCTGCTTCCTGATACCAAAATCTGTTCTGGTTTCCTGTGGCAGCTGAGACCAAGGACCACGAACTTGATGGCTTAAAACGCAGGAATCTACTTTCTCTCAGACGTGGAGGCCAGCAGTCTGAGACCAGGGGTGGGTCCTCCCTCCGAGGCGCTGGGGAAGCTCCTTCCTGCCTCTTCCAGCTTCGGGTGGCTTCGGGTGGCTCCAGGCGTCCCTTGGCTCGTGGTCCCCGCACTCTAATCTCTGTCTCTGTCCTCACATCACCTTCTCCTCTGTGCGGCTCAAATTTCCCTCTGCCACACTCTCGTAAGGACACTTGTCATTGGATTTACGGTCCACCCAGACAATCCAGGATTATTCCATCATGAGATTCCTAACTTAATTATATCTGAAAATATCTTTTTTCAAGAAAAGGGCATATTTACAGGTTCTGGAAGTTAGGATGTGGACACATCTTTTTGGGGGCAACTGTTCAGCCCACTACTCTCTCTGGAACACATCTGCAGTCCATCTACCTGTCTCCATCCTCACTGTGCTCCCCTGGTCCCTCCCTCCTGGGACTCCTGCCATAGGCCCCCCCCCCCCCCAACGATTGGCCTCTCCTGCTTCCATTTCTGCATATCAACAATTCATTTTCCTCACAGCCTGAGGACCACTTTAAAACTATACCTCAAATGATGTATTCCCTGTTGAAGGCCCCCGCCGCCTTCTCTTGACATTGATTTATGCACAGCTGGCTCCCGCTGACAATTCACGTCTTAGCTAAGTGTCGCCACCTCCCCAGGGCCCACAACGACGCCTAAGCTAAGTGCTCACCCAACCCCACTGTGTACCACTGGCCACCAGTTTATCTTATTCTCAGCCTTGATCACAACCTGAAAGTATTTATTTATCTACCCATCTATCTATTCATCCCCCATCTACCCATCCATCCATCCGTTTGTGAAGCTAAAGAACAGAATTTCTCTTTGTGGTGAAAACCTTTAACATGTTTTAAACAATCTCATCATCCTCCTCCCCTTGGCGTTCTCTCTCCCATTAGCAGCAGTCCCACGGTCATGGTCTCTGGGCCTTCCATGGCCCTCACTGCTATTCCTATCAAGCTATCGGGGATAGGCAAGACAAATAGAGATTTTTTTCCTGATTTAAAATCTTCAGCACAACCAGAAGGATCTACAACTAGAATATACAACTATGTATGGAGAGCTTTGGGGAGAAGAAGAAGAAAAAACAAAAAGAAGACTGGCAACGGATGTCAGACCAGGTGCCAATCTTTAAAGAAAAAAAAAAACTTCAAAAAAAGTTGTTGGAAAAAAAACAACCAGGGCCGGCCCCGTGGCCGAGTGGTTAAGTTCGTGGGCTCTGCTGCGGCGGCCCAGGGTTTCGCTGGTTTGGATCCTGGGCGCGGACATGGCACTGCTTGTCAGGCCACGTTGAGGCGGCATCCGCATGCCACAACTAGAAGGACCCACAACTAAAAAAAATATACAACTACGTACTGGGGGGATTTGGAGAGAAAAAGCAGAAAGAAAAAAAAATAGATTGGCAACAGTTGTTAGCTCAGGTGCCAATTTTTAAGAAAAACAAAAAACGCCCCCCAAAAACCAAAACAATCAAAAGAACTTTAGAAGTATCACTATTACAAATAGGAAATGACTTGTTACAGTTTCTATTCACAGTGCAGCTACTACCTCGTTGAAAGACGAAAGGTTAAGTTTTTTGGCGATGAACTTCTTTAGATGTAGGACTGTGGCTTGGGCTGAGCAGCGGATCCACTTCCGTTTCAAGCCACGCAGTTTGCTGCTGTTGCACTCCAGGCAGATGCTCACCTTAAAGAGAAGGACACAGCTGGGCAGGCCTCGCCGCGAGGAGCGCCACGGGCTGCTCTCCGGAGGCTTCCTCAGATAGCTACTGACTCCACCAAACCTAAGAAAGCTCACTTTTGGATATCAGAAATCTGTTTTACCCTCAACAGTGCAGAAAAAGAATTTCACTTCAATCATTTTACACATATCATCTTAAAATCTGTTTACTGTTTGTCATTTTATGAGATATGATCTAACACTGTTAACTCTGTCTTATTAACACAGTACTTTAAAGCAAACCCGAGAATTATTTATTCGCTGTAGGCACTGTGCTGGTCTCTGAGTGAAAGTGGCAAGCACTGGAGGCCTGTTCTGAAAGCTTCTGGCCAGTGGACACGTGCGCATCCCCACAGGCTGTGCTGAGGGCCCTGCCAGCAAGATGAGGAAAGACACACAGCAAACACCGTGGCAGGGCCACTGATCTGCCCGAACGCGTCGAGGAAGGATTCATGAAAGACATAGCATCGCGCTTGGCCTTGACAGGACAGAGCAAACTCACTAGAGAGGCAGAGTCCCCTGCACGGAGGAAAGCCATGAGCCAAGGCACAAAGTTCAAAAGGTCATGGCTGCTTCTTGAAGGCTCAACAGTTCAGTGGGTTCAAGGGCACGGTGTGCGACAAGGAGCCGCAAGATAACAAACCAAGTGAAAGCGATTCTAGGATCGAGGGTGCCTGGTACACACAAACGTGAACCTGCCCAGGATGCACAACCCCAGGCCACGCAGGAGAGAGCTCCACGAGCAAGAGATTCCCCAGGAGCAGCCACAAGAAAGGGCACAGTCAGACCCCAAAATTCAGACATAGGAATTAAGATAGGAATTAATGAAATATGTATGTCTAAAATTACTAGATACGAAAGAAGGAATTAAAGACGTAACACACCATGAAGAAAGAACAGGCAGGTATAAGAGAGAACCAAATATAACTTCTGAAAATAAAAAACATCCTCACTGAAATTAAAACTCAATGGCTGGCTGAACCACAGATAACTTCTGAAAATAAAAAATATCCTCACTGAAATTAAAACTCAATGGCTGGCTGAACCACAGATTAGTCTCAGCTGAAGACAGATCAATTTTCTGAAAGATCAATTTGAGGAAATTACCCTAAAGAAGTATAGAGACAAAGATATCAATTAAAATAACAACTCGAAGGAAGGTAAGAGACAGACCAAAGAGCCTAAGAGCCGTGTCACAGGAGGTCCAGGGGAAAAAGGAGGCCCAAGGAAGGCAAAGCCTCAGTCAGAAGCAAAAGAGAGTCAAGGACACCTGCACTTGGACAGGGTGGCCGCACCTCGGAGCACGGTGGGCAGCTGAGGGCAGCAAGGGCAGGTCTCCACGCTGGTCGTTAGCGGGGAGGGGCTTGCCCAGGTGGGGACAGGAAATAAGTAGCTAAAGTATCATGCAAGAGTGAGAATGAAATAAAGCTATTTGCAAATGAAAACAGGAAATAACTGGGGGGAGCTGTAGTTTAGGAAGAGAACCTGGACAGGGAGGAAGACGATGCGGGAGGAGCGGGAGCCGGGAGGCGGGTCCGGAGCCAGGGGCAGCGGTCTGCGTCTGAAGATGAGGAGGACCGAGTGACCGACTCCAAGCAGGAGGGCGGCACCAGGCCGTGCGAGCATGGCCCTGGTGTCACTCAGGAGAGAGGAGGAGACTCAGACAAACCGTGGAATTTTTAAAAACGTAAATATTCATTTTAGAATTTCATAACCACTAAAATAATAAAAGCAGTTCACACAACTTGCCAATTCGTTGCCAAGTACAGGCAAAAAAGAGATTAAAGAACACTTACTAATTCAATAAAAGGCAAGAAGGGGGAGCATAAAAATATAAATGGAAAGCACAAAGACAGCAGAAATAAACTCAAACTCACCAGAGATCACTGTGAATGTAAAATAAGTTGTGAGCTAAAGGCATCTTCTGATTTGATTTTCTTAAAAAACCCAGTCTATGCTGTAAAAATCGTTGCACTTAAGAAAGATATTTACAAAACTGGAATACCAGGCAAATATTAATCAAAAGAAAGCTCACAAAGCTGTACTAATATTAGGTAAGACTTTAAGAAAGAAAGCTTAATAGGAAAAAACTCCCTAGGGATGGGAAACTTTCCAAACTTGAAAGCACCTAGTTACAGACTTAAATGGACAGAATGATGAGAAATGGTGAGGTCCAGCCCATGGGGGCGACTCTACGTGAGAGAGCTGCCTGCCTTCTCAGGCACACGCACACTCATGCGTCCGTGTCTGTGTCCAGGCCTGAGCACCATCAGACCCATCTTTCTGACCACAGTCAGTCAAATCAGAAATTATCAGCCAAAGGAAATACTAAACCTGGCCCCATTGGGGTATCGTGTGTGCAGGGCTGGCACAGCAGCACTGGCTGGAGGTGGTCCTCATGCCCACCAAGAGGCTGCTAACCCACAAAAGGCACAGACACCCCAACACAGGGGCGCTGAGGCCTGTGTTCTAAGGTGGAAAACTGCAGGATGAAGGCGACCACCAGAGAATGAGGGAGATTAAACACGAGAGGTGGAGGGTGGATCAGGAGTTCCAGAAGGTGACACCCAGAGACAAGGAAGTTTCCCTGAGCAGAAGGAAGTCCAGGGTCCTCAGGACGGAAGGTGGAACCCAAATGACAACAAGAATAATGGAAGAGATGAATTCCCGGAAATCTCTGAACTCCCAGGATAAAGAGAAATCCTACAAAACTCCAAAACGGGGAAAGCACGACTCAGCTCCAGAGGAAAGGGATGGGCCTGTACCGGGAGCGACTTGAAACGGGGGAGCGCAGACCTGGTCAGCATGGCTGGCTGAGAGCTTCTCCGAGACAGTGGCTGATCACGGCGGCATCTCTCAGCAGCTTACTGAGCTTGTCTCCCTCGGGAGAAAGTGGGCTTGAGCCCAGTCGTCCTGGGAAGCCTGCTCCTCGGGCGAGTCTCGGGGCGAGGGCCAAGACCACCAGGCAGCGCTGGGGAGCAGGGTCAGGGGAGCACACGGGCCACTCAGATGGATGAGAGCAGAGGTGGTCAGACGCACAACCTGCTTAGTCAGCTGCTGTTCTGAGATGCAGCCCCTCTGAACTCCCTGTTGAACAAAAACTGGGGGCTGCAGCCCAGTCTGGTTCCCAGGAGCATCGAGTGTCAGCATCCAGACATAAGAGGGCGTCCAGTCGGGAAAGGGTGTGCAGACGGGAGAGGGCATGCAGATAGGGGAGGGCATCCAGTCAGGAGAGAGCATGCAGACAGGGGACAGTGTGCAGACAGGGGAGGGCATCCAGTCAGGAGAGAGCATGCAGACAGGGGACAGTGTGCAGACAGGGGAGGGCATCCAGTCAGGTGAGAGTATGCAGACAAGGGGAAGGCATCCAGTCAGGGTAGAGCATGCAGACAGTGGAAGGCTTGCAGACAGGGGAGGGCATGCAGTCAGGGGAGGGCGTGCAGACAGGGGAGAGTGTGCAGACAGGGGAGGGCATGCAGACAAGAGAGGGCATGCAGACAGGGGAGGGCATCCAGTCAGGGAAGGGCGTGCAGACAGGGGAGGGAGTCCTGTCAGGGAAGGGCGTGCAGTCAGGGGAGGGAGTCCAGTCAGGGGAGGACGTGCAGACAGGAGCATTCAGGCCAGGAGCAGTCTCGGGGCTTGGGTGGCTTATACTTCTCTCATTTGTTTTTCTTTTTCCTTTCTAACGCTTACTGTTAAAGGAGCACAATTTTATCAGTTCACCTGAGTGACTGAGGCTTATCTTTCTTTTTTTTTCCCCAAAGCCCCCCTGTGCGTAGCTGTATATTCTAGTTGTGAGTGCCTCTAGTTGTAGCATGTGGAACGCTGGCTCAGCACGGCCTGATGAGGGCACCATGTCTGCACCCAGGATCTGAACCAGTGGACCCTGGGCCACCAAAGCAGAAGGCGCAAACTTCACCACTCGGCCCTGGGGCCGGCCCCCAAGGAAAGCTTATCTTAAAAGTTATGAGGAAAAGTTACTTGAATTTAGAATTCTGTACCCAGCCAAATTACCATTCGAGGGTAGGGAAACGAAGACCAGGCTGATGTGCAGAACTCGGAGGGCGTAGCACGTGCACCCCTCCCCATGGCCACGGAGGGTGGCCACAGAAGCACGTGGGCTCCAGGGGGAGGAGGACTGGATAAGGCAACCGTGTGTGCAGAGGCCCACACAGCACACATTTTTGTCAAATCTAAACAATCGTCAACATTGTGTCAAAACTCTAGGAAAAACATTAGGCAATAATTCTTAGAATAAAAGTCGTGTAAAATAAAATTAAAAATGACCAGCAGTGATTGGGAACAAACTTTATATGACTTGAACGAATTCTGGAAGGTGGCAGGTAGTGATTGGCAGAGGGGAGTCAGAAAACAACAGAATAAAGCCTTGCCTTGTTCTGAGACATCAGGGATACTGATTAATCCCACACACTGACACGAAATGCAGATATAGACACGTCTGAAAATTCAGGAGCAGCTACTAGAGGAACACAGAGAGACATTTCCAAACCTCTAGAGGAGAAAAAGTCAAGGAAGAGCCAACCCTGACAGGAGGGTCTGAAGAGGGGAGAATGCGCACCACAGCCGTCGGGTCCAGCCCCGGAAACCAGCGCCACGGCTGGCGGAGCCTCCTGAGCAGCCGAGGGGCCTGAAACATGGCCCTAAATGCATCCGACCAAACGGACTAAGGCCCAAGTGAAGGGCCAGGAAAAAGCTTTCAGAAAACAACGCTTGATCCGTTAAAACCGAAAATTGGCTCTTTTGGAAGCAACCAAAGAGACAAACCTCAGGCATGTTTGGGATAAAAAACAAAAGGCAAAAATTAGTCACGATAAACGCTGGAAACTCAAAACCCAAAGAGAGACTGAGCCATAGAAGAATGCGGTGTATACCTTCACTCGATGCTCGTGCCTGTGCCTGGAGGGGTGGCCAGCCGTGCCAACCCCGAATCCACGTCCCGAGTGGACCCTGGTCCTCCCAGGTGGAGGACTGCTGTGATCACTCAGAAGAGGTGGCGGGAGGACTCCGCACTCACCAGGTCAGAGCCCAGGGCAGGGAGAAACGTGGCCCAGAGGGTGCCCTCGCCCGCTCTGCACCCTCCTCTCAGTGACCTGGCCCGCCTCAGGTCCCAGCTTGGACATCAGCACAGATGCCTCACGGGAATGTGTTTAACAGGAGAGAAGGATATAAGCCGGAAAATGAAGATTCTCTTACTGTGTTCTTGTACCCACACCACACTATTTTAATTACGTCTTTAATAAACATATGTACACGTGAATATGAACGTATGTTTGTGCACATTTTACTAAATAGATGTGTGCATCTCAGAATATATATAAACACATATGTGTGCGCACATTACATTTATTATATATATTCTGATACAGCTGATACCCCTCGTTTTCATGGCTAGTCTTAAGCTTTTCGTCTCCCAGATGAACTTCAGAAGCAACTGGTTAAATTCCACAATAAACGGTTAAAATCACAGCCACTGAGGTTAATTTGGGGAGAACTGACATCTTAATGTCAATCTTTCCCTCCAGGAACATCCAATTATTGAGATTTTTCTCTTACGTTCTGCCATAAGGTTTTTGTGTCTTCACCGAGGCCTCAGACCTTTCTTGTTAGGCTATGTTAAGGTTTTTATGTTACGTGAATAAGGTCTCCCCCTTACCTACTGACTACTATATATTGCTCCTATCACCTTAACAAGCACAGGAAGTCCTAACAGCCTTCCAGTGGGTTGTCTTAGGCTTATGCCAGACGGCGGTGCGATCTGAGAACAGTGCATTCCTGTCCCACACGCATCTTGTTTCCTCCATCTCCCACTGCATGGGCCAGGACCTCCGAGGTGACGCTGAGTCCCAGCTGACTATGGCATCTCTTGTTTCTGGTGTCACGAGACAATGACCGTTTCATTACAAAGTATGACGATAAGCTAAGATAGTATAGTAAAAAGTTTGTAGACATTGATGTGGGATTTTACAAATTCTTTTACAACATCTTGAGTGTTTGGTCTTTCTCTTTCAATCTGATAATGGAGTAAACGACGTAGGAATAGATTCCTCGATGTGAGGTTTTCACTGTTCTTTTAACACACAACTGGACTCCACTCTCTTCTACACAACATGGGCCTGTGCACAGAAAGTGCCTGCACCAAACCAGGCAGTGACACTGGGGGCAGCTGAGCCACCTAGGTGTGTGCAGGGGGAGCTCTCATTTTCTTACATTTAAAATATTTTATAGTCAGTACATATTACTTTAGCAATTAAAAAAAGGAGAAAAAAAATAAAGTAAGGAGCTGGGAGGAAACAGGAGAAAGTGTGTTGACATTTTAAGGTCTCTACTCTCTCGGTCTTTTACTTTTTTAAAGGAGAAAACATCACACGGGGAGGTTTCCAGTGCATTTGCTTTAGTTACGGTTTTAGGAAACATACTGCAGCACGCAAGCACGGAGGCAAACAATTTTCTAAACTTCACAGAATGAAATATCGTCTACCTGCTCATCACTTCTGTGATAGTCATTGTCCTCTTCCTGCTTCTCTTCTGTAGTTTCTTTGTTTGAACTGTCATCTGCTTTGGTTTCACCTTTTTGCAAAAACAGACAATAACGTATTATGAAATCCAAAATGTTAAACCATTATTTATTTAACTCTACAGTATACTATATATACTGTATAGAAAAGAAATATATATATTACATGTAAAATGCTATAAAAATTGAGTGTAATAAGAGAGTTTTCACCATAAAGAGCATGTGAGTCAGAGGAGAGCTCGTCTACAGAGTGTCGGTTGGAATGCATGATCCTCAAAGTGAGGGAGCCCCAGGAGGCTGAGGCCGGCTGCACGTGGGCCGGCTACACGTGATCGGGGCACAGAGCAGCTCCCCCAGCATCACTCAAGGCTGATGCCTCACCGACCCCACTCAGCAATGCGTGATTCCTACAACTGCCACTGTCCCAACACCACTTCTAAAATTAAGACTCCACCTTAGGGAAAATGGCTGGGACAGGACTCCTGGATTCCCAAAATGTGTTCCCAGCCACCTCCGGGCCTGCCTCCCCGGGGCCGTGGTGTCACCTAGGGAAAATGGCTGGGACAAGACTCCTGGATTCCCAAACGTGTTCCCAATCACCTCCAGGCCTGCCTCCCCAGGGCCGTGGCGCCAGCGGAGTCTGCAGTGCTCTGCCCTTCCCAGCGACAGCCAGAGCTCGTCTGATCCTCAGACTGTCAGAAATGCACAGGGTGCCTAAAATTTCCTAGGAATTGTGTGTTCCAGTAGAAGAATACCATGGCATCAAAGATTTGAGTAATTTGTTACAATATGCACAGATTTTAAAATATCATTAATTTTACAGCAAAGACAAATTATTTTGCCATTCTACAATAAAACAACCAAAACTGAAGTGAAGAGTCTTAGGAAGCCCACCTTTCACATTTCCTGTCATCCCTCCACACCCCACCTCCAGGTACTTTCTGGGACCCCCCTCGCACACCACGTTGCTTCAACCCCCATTGTGTGACCCCTGTCCGTGACCCCATTTCTCAGTGCCATCCCATGTTCCCATCAGCACCAGCGGTGACAGAATCCTCACGTTCTAACCACCCCCCAACTCCCATGACAAAATTTTGTTATTCTTGACATAAACTGCGTTGGCGGGGCGGCGGGTGAGAAGACCAGGGAGCTCTTCAGGAAAAGGCCTGAAAAGTAAAATCCCCTGAATTTCTCAATAACCACACACACGCTTACTCACCGTTGCGATGGGAATCTAAGTGCTGTTTTGCAGAGCATGTCTCCCCCTTGATGTCTCCAGGCACTTCCATGCCTAATTTGTGGTAGAATTCCCTCTGTTTTCTCATTTCCGCTATTAAAAATTAACATACAATCTTTAATCTCAGGTAGGCAATGAATTATATTAAAACTCTACTCACAAATATCATGTGAAGAAATCAACGGACCGGGTTAAAAAGTGCTGAAGGCTGCTGTGAATGGAAGGGGCCATCGGACTGTAACTCCTGGAGTCCTGGAGCACCGCCAGCTCCGTGCAGGGGGAAGCGCCCTGGTGTGGGAGCTGCGCGGTTCTCCGGTCTCACTGCGCCCAGCAGGGCCGGCACAGGCTGTGCAGACGGGGGGAGGCCGTCCAGCAGGAGGGAAGGACACCTCCCTGGACCTGACCAACGCCCCCGCCCACGCGTCTGAAACTGAGCTATCACGTGGCATCAGGCGAACCTTCAGGGAGACTCATTGTGGCGCATCCAACGTCACCCGCTGATGCCAGGGCAGCTACCCCGAAGACTCAGGACACCTCCCACCACAGCTGAGCTTCCTGACCCAGGTGCTCCTGGCTCTCCTAACGTCCTGTCACAGCCACAGTGGACACCCCCTGCCAGGAGATGCCGCCAGGGGATCCCGAAGGAGCTCTCACTCGCCTAAGGGAAGGACGACAACTGAGGCAGCCTGCGTCCCGGAGCTCACCTCGTCCTCACACCTGTGGGGGGCTCCTCACAGCTGTGGACAGCCGCCCAGCGTGCCTGGCGGTGGGTACAAGTGCCCCCTGGTGTCCGTGGCTGGCTGTCACAACTCGCCCAAATCCTGGGGAGGAAACGGAGATGCCCACCACAGGGGAAGGTTCCCCTCTGAGCTGTGCCTGGTCTCCTTCTCAGGGCTCACGTCTGTTGGATCCCTAACCTGGGTGGTCAGCACACCAGCCACCGAGTGGGTGCTGGGCCCAGGTGGTGAGAGGACAGGACGAGGCTGGACCCCTGCAAGTTCCGGGCAACGGCCGATTCCGTGACAAGGCAGCTACCTACTGCCTTTCAGAAGAAGTCCCACCCATGTGACTCAAGGGCTCACCTCCAGATGAGGAAGCAACCAGTCAGCTCAGGGCCACACAGCAGGCAGCACAGGAAATCTAGACCTAAGCTGCCGAAACCAATGACCCACAACCACTGTGTGAACAGGATGGATCCCTGAGCAGCTTACCCAGGGACGCGCCCTGTCTCCATGAGCTCGGAGAGAGCAGGAACACCCCGTCCCTTCCAGGACCTACACAGACACTGTGAGAGGCCCGACTATGCAGGAACGAACCAACGCATGTGGCAACGGCCTCAGATGGAAACGAGGGCCGCCTTTCAGTGCTGAAGAGCTGCGGGCTGGCCCCGGGTGACATCAGAGACTGGAACCAAAGATTAGCCTGGAAAATTTGGGATCACCTTGAAATAATACCTTACATAATCACATAAAAGCCAGCTCAGGAGCCCAGGCCTGAAACGCACTGACTGGCAGTGCGAGGCCGTTCCTATGGTTCTCCAGAAAGGGTGGTGATGTTTAACCTAACAGCTCACAGATCCACGCAAAAGAAGGACTTCTCATCCAACGGGGAAATGGTGCAGCTTCAAACACCTTGTTTTAATTCTCATTTCTTTAATTTTCACCTATCAGAATGAAAAAGCATTGAAAATAACAATGCTCAACGTCAGGTGTAGAAATGATAATTGGGGTACCTTTTCAGAAAGGTAATTTGGCCATACATATGAAAAACATTTAAAAACTTAACTGCTGACCCAAAAGTTCTGCTAGTAATCTATCCTAAGGAAATAAACAGGCAAGTCCCTAAGGAGATATGAATCCAGATGTTGATGCAGCCTTATGGAGAACACTGAACTATCAGAAACAATTTAAAAGCCAAATGTCCAACAGGGCCTGGGCCAATCAGCAGAGCTGACCTCCCGGCTGACCACGTGCCATCTTCAACCTGCCCCAGCAGACACTTCCAGATGAGGCCAACAGAGCCTCAGAATCCTTCTCAACACTCCACTTGAGATGCCACTACCATCCACTACTGACAGAGTCAACAGGCAAGATAAATCTTATTGGCTACCTGGGAGAGCAGTGTGAGCCATTTATTCAGTGGAATCCTTTGCAGCCATTAAAGAAGATGATATGGATCATATCTATCGAATGGAGCAAGCACTACAATATACTGCTTTGATAAAGACAGATTACATAGCATTATAGAAAAAATGTGATCTCATTTTTTGTAAAAATTAAATGTTACAATAGTGGTTTGACTAAGATGTTATGGGAATTCAGGGGAGGGAGAAAAGGCTTATAAAAAGTAACAGTGCGCTGGGCACTGAATCCATCCACGTCATCCACTGTCCTGACAAACTGAAAAGAGAGACCACACGATCATCGCCACGGATGCAGAAGCAGCATTTGACAGAATCCAGCATCCACTCCTGACGCGCTGAGCACCTCCTGCTAATGGAGGCACGCACAGGAGCCCTCAGCCAGCCTCACACGCAGCGGTGGGAGACCGGTCGCTTCCCCCCAGGGTCGGGAACCAGACAGGATGTCCACTCGCACCACTGGGATCCAACATCACACTGAGAGCTCTAGCCCAGGGGTCCCAACATTTTCTGTCATGAAACAGGGAATCAGGATTTGTAAGCTAAAGGGCAAAACTGAGATACTACATAGGCATTTACGTAACAAGAGATAAAACTAATTTTCTAATTGATGAAATTGAAATACATGTACATAAAATGCCCATAAGCACACCTATGGGATGCACTGTTGCCATTATTACTTTGAACACAGTTATCTGTAATATCAATTCTAATTCTTCCCTCCTGTCCCTTGCATCATGGCTTTCATTTCACTTACACATAAGCGTATGTGTATGTCTGTGCATGTAATATGTACATAAGCATGCATATCAGATGCACTGTTGCCATTATTACTTTGAACACTGTTATCTGTAATATTAAGAAGAAAAATAAAAGTTTTAAATTGACCTTCTCCTATTCCTTCGCTGACGCTCTTCCATTTTTTATGTCGATCCAGGTTTCCCATCTGTATCATTTTCCTTCTCTCTGAAGAACTTTTAACATTTCTTGAAGGCAGGTCTACTGGCTACAAATTTTGTCTGAGAAAGTCTTCATTTCTCCTTCACTTCTGGAGAGAATTTTGCAGGGTACAGAATTCCAGGCTGCTGGTCCTTCTCTCAACACTTTACGTATCTCACTGCACTCTCTCTTGCCTGCACGGTTTCTGAGAAGTCGCATGCAATTCTTAGCTTTGCTCCTCGGTGGGTAAGGTGTTTTTCCCTCTGGCTTCTTTCAGGAGTTTTTATCTTTGATTTTGTGTGGTTTGAGAGTGCTACGCCTGGGTGTAGCTTTTTTGGGCATTTATCCTGCTTGGTGTTCTCGGAGCTTCCTGGCTCTGTGGTTTGGTGACTGACATTAATTTGGGGAAATTCAGTCATTATGGTTTCAAATATTTCTTCTCTTTGTCCTGTTCCACAACCTTCTGTGGTCATCCACAGTCCTTGGGTACTCTGTTCTGGTTCTTTCCAGTCTGTTCTCCTGGCTTTTTAGTTGTGGGGTTTCTCTCGAGATGTCCTCAAGCTCAGAGGTCCTTTGCTCAGCCGTCTCCAGTCTGACGAGTCCATCGGAGGCACTCTTCATTTCTGTTGCAGTTTTTCATCTCTAGCATTTCTTTTCGGTTCATTCTTAGGATTTCCACTCTCTGCTCACATTGCTCCTGTGCTCTGGCATGCCGTCTGCTTCTTCCATCAGAGCCCTTAGCATAGTAATCACAAGTGTCTTAAGTTCCTGGTCTGACGATTCCAGCGCCCCTGCCATGCCTGGTTCTGACGCTTGCTCTGTCTCTTCAAACTGCATTTCCTCACTTTTGTGTGCCTTATGATGTTTTCTTGGCAGCCAGGTAAAAGGAACTGCTGTAAATAGGCCTTTATTAATCTAGTGAGGTGTGGGGGTGAGAACGCATCCCGTGGCCCTGGATTAGTGCCCATCGTTCCCACGTGGACTGCACAGCCTGTACCTCTGACAGTGCACTGCCTCAGTGCTTCTCAGCTCTTGCTCCTGAGGTGGGACAGGATGTCTAGAGCCGACGGGAGTTGGGTCTTTCCTTCCAAGGCAGTCAGGCTCTGAGAATAGCCAGCAGGTTAGGTTCTGGTTAAGCAGTTTCCTCGGAGGACAGGCTTTGTTCAGAACAGCGTGCTCTGGACTAGTTCAGAACGGCTCCTCTCCCCTCCCATGCAAGAAGCAGGAGGGGCTTTTTCTCTGATATTTTCTGTGAGAACCTAGCCATGCTCCTGGAGGTAAATCTCACAATACTGTGGGGAACCCCAAGACTGAGTCCCCCTGCAGGTTTTAACTCTCAGTTGTCCACACAGAGCCCCCAGCAGTTCCTCTACTGCAGGTCAGGTTTTCCTGCCCCGGCTCTGGTTCCCGTGGAGGTTCCTGCCCAAGCCTCTGCTCTGGGAAGCCAGGACTCCCTGTATCCGCTGTCAGTCTCTCCGGTCTCGGGGGTAGTGGTTTGCCCTGAGTCCACCCTCTTCAGTCTAAGAAGAGTTGTTGAATTTTCAGTCTGTTCGGCTCTTACCTGTTGTTAAGGCACAGTGGCAACTTGCAAGCTCCTTACATAAGGAGCCAGAAACAGGAAGCCATGAAATTCAAAACATAGTAATAATAATTGAGCACGATTTTTTGTAATACAGGATACTAATGAGAAGGATGGACTCCTTTTGGGGGGATAACATTTGTTAAAATGGGGTTAAAGGTTGGTGTTCCTTATCACCAAAACTGACTGCATGAATTTCATCTTTGAAACGCCCCTCACACGGTGATATCGGCCTCAGTGCACGAGCACAGGGTTTCATTGACCACGAACGTCACTCAGAAGGCACTCGTGGAATTCCACTCAGTCCTTCTCTTGGTATTTGTCTTTGATCCTGTGTTCCAGGCCACATCGGTCACTTCCCACTGAGGGGGAGACGGAAGCCCCTTGGCTGCACAGGTGAATGAGCTGGAAGCATGGAAACTGCCTCTGAACTTG